TTGGTTCTTCATTGATGATGATGATGAGACTATACCAGCATTGTCAATTATGAGCTCTTGGTGTGTTCTTATTTGGTGAAACTCGTGATGCAATTTTGTTGTTGGTTCGAGGTCACGACTATCTGGTCTTGTATGTATGATGCTGTTTGATTTCTGAAGTTCGCTATCGCTCATCTTCCTTGCAATTTGGTATCGGAGTTGTGGTACATTGCGCTCATTTGGCGCTTGTCTTCTGCATATGCGGTACATACATGCGGTCTGCTTGGTAAGTGAGACCGTAGGGGGTGTGTAGTGCGGAGGGCGGAGACAAGGTGTGGCGACCCAGGAGGAGAGGGAAATCGGCAGGGAGGCTATGGTGTGTATTGGGTGTTCGCAGTGTGATGAGAACTAGCTGGTGGTTGATTGATGCTGAGGTGGAACGGTGAGATAATGCTGGTTGTGCCGATGCAGTGACTGGTCATCACAATCACCATCAGGTCATCTGGTGAGAATATTTGTGGTTGGGGGCAGCTATATCTAGGTACTTTGCTCTTAACCTTATCCACCCTCTTCATCACTTCTTACCGTGAGGTTGTGAGTTCCTTCTTGAGGGTCCTCTCATTTGAGGTGTCGGGTGCGCTCAACCTTGAGAGTCGTCATTGTTCATGTGGAGCATCTGGAAGGAGAGGGCAGTGCTTTCTGAAGGGCCCTGGACGAAGCACTGGGTCACGGTCACCATGCCAACCCACCGGGAGTAGAGCACGCATGCTTTGTTGCTTTGTCCTTGTCTGCTTGCTGCGCTCATAGAAGGGGTACTGGAGGGTCGGCCAGCCCTATGGGAGAGACAAGTACCGGACATCTATAAATAAACACCGGCTGGGGAAACCGTTGGCTGTGATCGTCGTCCTGCTGCGACGTAAATAATTCATGATGACACTTGGGGGCGGTCGTTAAATTGCCTCTGGATCAGCCAAATTCGTGTAAGGCTCGCTGCATGCGAGGATAAACAAGGTGCAGGGCTGGCCAGCTCAGCAGCTACTCAGGGCACAGGGGCGGGCCGTGTGCACACCTTTAGTCACGCACGCCAAACCGGATTGCTCAGGGACGCTGACGTCAAGTGACAATCAAGGGGAATTGGGGAAGGGGTGGATTTCAGGTGATAAGTTCGAGTAAGATCCCATGTTGTGAACAGACCCAACAAATGATATTATTTTTATTTTGATAGTTAGATGTACTGCCATTAACATCTGACAAACAGCATTAGTTATAACTGTTTTCTATTCCTTGTGCTTTCTGTTTGCGGACTAATCAAAGTGAAATAGTTTTCGTTTGTAGGAATCTGAACTTACTTGTTGAGCCCAAATGCATCTACTCTGACACAGCCGCCAATTATTTAGTTATTTATTTTAAATTGGTCTGTGCATTACACTGCGGTAGGCATCTAGAGTGCACTACTGCAGATTGTGCACAGTGCTGTAGCTTATGAGCGACAGGGAGGACACTAGAGAGGAGACCGGATCTTGGGATCAGCTAGACGCCCGATTGCCCATTTGGCTTTAGGACCAGAGGGCGACAGATACCTGTTCCGTCAGCGTAGGGAGAGGCTGCCGCAGCAGAGGCTAGCAGGGCGTTCGTGAGCGAAGCCGCAGCTTCGATAGCCATGGCCACTTCTGCGCAGCAGAGTTCCCAGGCTAGCAGTTCCGGAGCTGTTGGGTCAACGGTCGCGCAGACCCAGAGTCAGTCCACTGGGGTTATGCCACACCAGCCATTAGTGATGACACCCGAGGAGGTCGCCATACAGCGAGCTGCTGATCGCGAGGCACAACTACAACAGGCGTTCGGAGAGATTAAGGCTGAGAAAGAGAGAATGATTAGGAGAAGAGCCAGGATGCAGCGGAGGCAAGCGGGCGTTAGTGAGTTAGAGGAGATGGACCCAACAGAGATGGAGGATGATGTGAGGACCATACGGTCGATCTTGTTAAGCGTAGGAGAAATGCAAGATCACCAAATGGAGATCTTACAGGACATCCAACAGAGCCTGGCTGTGTTAGTCGGGCGAATGCAGGCGTCACCATCACCGTCCGAGCCAGGTGCCTGGCCCATTGTACATCCTCCTCCTTTTGTCCCACCGGTGACCGGGGTATCCCCATATACAGCCCCAGCATCGGTCCAGACCATTTCCTGGGCATGCCATTATCAGGAGGGTTCTCAGCAGGTCCTAGTTTATAGGTTCTTGTGCAGACAGTGTTCACCCAACCAACGTCGCAGGTTTGCAGTAAGCGTGCAACCTGTTGTCTCCTAGCCTGCACAGCCGCAGGGCACACAGCCCCAGCAGTTTGTGCAGCAGCCTGCACCACTGGGTCCACAGCCATCGCCGCTCCTAAACCCTTCACAGAATCACTGGGGATAAGAGGGGCGAAAACCTCGACACTTGGTTGAGGGCAGTGCCGGTCTATGTCAAGTGTAAACTTACCTTGCCGCACAAGGAAGGACAGGTGGCACGATCCTCAGGAGGCCCAAAAGGCCACTGATGCAATCCTGACACTGCACACTGGGCAGTTCAAGTCAGTAAGGGAGGCCACTGACGATGTAGAGTGTCTGATCTGTGTCGCTGGGGTTCGCTATGACCCGCAGGTCTTACTCACCTCCTACCTGAGATGCTTTCCTATGCCTCTCAGGAATCAGTTGGCAGGTGAGGCCAGCATCAATATGCACAACTTTCCCTTATTCAAGAAGAAGGCCCTAAACCTTGAGGCGAAGATAGGGCATGGACATAACCCCACGACGGATGGTAGGAAGGAGACACTGCCTCCCAACTGGAAGGCGAAGGGATGCATTATGTTTGTCGATAACGATGGTTCAACCATCGAGTTAGACGACAACTTCCAAGAGGGAGTAGGTTCAGAGGCTGGCAGCGTAGAAGCTTCAGGGGGTGGAGTAGTCGCTGCCGTAGCACAAAAAGGTAAGGCGACCGGTAGACGCCGTGGAGGTTCCCGGTCAAGGAGTCAAGTTGACCCCAGTGCTCCTCCATAGGAGAAAGCGGGTCTCACTGAGAACGTGTGGAGAGATCGGTACACACGGCAGCCTTGCATCCGTTGTGGCCGATATGGCCATAACCAATTCAAGTGCCGAAACATGGGGCAAGTGTTGGGATCCTCCACTCCCGTTGGTAGCAATGTAGCTAGAACTTCTGGCACTGCTCCGGGAAACACGTCGGGCCGGTAAGAATAGTCGCTGTTCGTGCTAGCGTTGAGGTGGTGGACACACCCTCACCATCTCGAGAGATGGCCCAAGCTATTGACTCCATCGTTGTCCCGCAAACACGTTCAGACCCATCGAGCCTCTATTCAATGAATGTGTTTGAGTCCTTAGAGGAGCTAGAGGAGGAGTGGTCTAGAACAGACCCACTAGCCTCTTGGACGATATTGGTCAAAGCCCCTAAGGGTGAGATGTTCGCCAGCGAGGTAGTCATTGGTGGCCGCAAGGTCGGGGCCTATTATGACACTTGCTCGACTAGGAACTTCATTAGTCACGCGTGCATTGAGAGGCTGCACTTACAAGGGCAAGTGCAACGCCTGGGTCGACCTGTGCCAACAAACAGCACATGGTAGTCAACGACTACCTCCAAGATGTTGAGTGTTGTTTCCCGTACGCGGGAGGGGAACTGAGACATCGCGTCTCGTTCCTAGTGAGCGATGAACTCCCCATGGATATGTTGTTAGGTATGTACTACCTCTCTGTGGCACAGCCCTAGTTTGACTGGGACCGAAAAGTGGTCAAACACACTTTGCCAGGTGGGGGAACCTCCAGATTACGTAAGTCCCACGGATGCATGTGTGCAGCCGCATTTTGTACTTACTATAAGCAAAATCAGGAGGAGGGTATGTATCTAGTTTATGTCTCTGCTGCAAACGAGCCGGTGAAAATGCCGCCGGAGATAGAGGGAGTAGTTGCTAAGTACCCTGCTCTATTCGAAGAGCCGACAAGGGTTGTTGAGAGGGAGGTTGTCCACGCGATAGAGATTATCCCAAGGTCTAGCATTCCGAAGGGTAGGATCTATTGGATGTCTCCAGGCGAGCTTGACGAGCTTCGCCGACAACTCAAGGAACTCGTAGAAAAGGGTTGGATCCGGCCGAGTGTTTCTCCTTATGGATCACCAGTCCTATTCGCACCAAAGAAGAAGGAAGGAACACTTAGGATGTGCATTGACTATAGGGGCCTCAATGCCATCACTGTCAAGAACAAAGAGCCCTTACCGCGCATCGATGATTTGCTAGATAGAGTGCAAGGGTGTCGGTACTTCAGTAAGATAGATCTGAAGTTCGGGTACCATCAAATTGCAATCCGACCTGAGGATCAACACAAAACCGCTTTTCAAACCAAGTACGGTCTGTACGAGTTTGTGGTGATGCCTTTCGGCCTTTGCAATGCTCATGGCACCTTTCAACACGCTATGAATCGGATATTTCATAACTACTTGGATAAGTGTGTCATCGTGTACCTCAATGACATACTTATTTTTAGTAAGACTGTCGAGGAGCACGTTGCGCACTTGGATAAATTCCTGAGTCTTCTGCGACAGCACAAGTTCAAGATCAAAGGCGAGAAGTGCGAGTTTGGCCGCACCCGTGTCTTGTACTTGGGTCATGATATTTCTGCGGAGGGATTAAAGCCCGATGACGCGAAGGTGGCCAGCATTCGTGATTGGCCGCGTCCTCAGTCTGTGACTGACATGAGGTCTTTCTTAGGGATGACCGGCTACTATCGCAATTTCGTGAAGAACTATATCATAGTTGCCGCCCCTTTGACTGACCTGACTCGCCTTGACACCCCTTCGGAATGGACGACAGATGCGAGGCTGCTTTCAGACATCTGAAGCATGCGTTGAAACATCATGAGGTCTTGAAACTTCCTGATCCTGACAAGCCATTTGTATTAACTACGGATGCTAGCCAATATGGCATAGGCGTCGTACTTGCGCAACAGAAGGGGAAGAAGTTGAGGCCAGTGGAGTACATGTCCAAGAAAATACCGTCGCAGATGATTTTCTAGTAGCAATCTCTGGTCAAGTCCACCTATGAGAAAAAACTCTATGCGGTTTACAAGGCTCTGACCCATTGGAGGCACTATCTCCTTGGGAGGTTCTTCATCCTCAGGACTGATCATCAGACCCTGAGATGGATGAGAACTCAGCTAGTGCTCTCTGACGCTCTGAAGCGTTGGATCGAAGTCATTGAGCAGTATGACTTTGACCCTCAGTATCTGAAAGGGGAGTACAACAAGGTTGTTGATGCCTTGTCGCGTAGACCTGATTTCTCAGGTGCGCTGATTACTGAGTTCGATCTTACAGACGATGTTACTCGCTCTTTGGTGGAAGCCTATCGCGAGGACCAGTTCATGTCTGATATCATACGCAGACTTGAGGCGAAGGACAAGAAGACTTCTGTCGAGTTTGAGTTGGTCAGCGGCTTGCTGTTCCTTGAGAAGACAGGGAATAAACGATTGTGTGTCCCAAATAAAGAGTCTTTGCGTAGTCTATTTTTAGGTGAGTGTCATGATGCCACCAGCCATTTTGATTTCAAAAAGACCGCATCTAATCTGCTGCAGCGGTTCTGGTGGTCGGCGATGATGAGAGATGCTAAGCTGTACGTGGAGACTTGTCAGGTCTGCCAGAGAGACAAGCCCCGTACACAAGCCCCTCTAAAGCCCCGTTCGATTCGAGAAAGACCTGGTGAGAGCCTGTCCATGGACTTCATGGATACGCTGGTAACCAGCAAGCGCAGAATGAGACACATCTTTGTTATCGTGGATAGGTTTAGTAGGTACGCTAGGTTAGTTGCAATGCTCAAAACAACAAAGACAGAGCATGTGATTAAACTGTTCAAAGAGAACTGGGTTAGAGATTTTGGATTGCCCAAGTCTATATGCCAGTTCGAAGACTAACGTCAGAGGACGTGCTCCAAAACCGAAGCTGCAGTATCGAGTTCGGTTCATACATCACACTGATCCAAAGGAGGACAGATGGTTCACAAGGTAGGAACCGATGCAGACCGCTCCACAGGTAGTCGCCCACTATGAGAAGTCTTTACGGAAAGGAAAGCGCCAGATTATCGAAGACTGAACTTCTCAGAGGACTAGCGAAGTATGGAGGAGGGGATGCGAGGCACAAGGCCTCCATAAGCTCAATGGGCCCTATTTGCAACATCGTCGGCCGCCCTAAGTGAAGGCAGGCCCGACAGACCCTTAGAGGCCTATTTTGGACTACTTCGCAATTGGGGAAATTCAGGCAGTTGCACTGCAGCAGTTGGTTGGAAGCGCCCAGGCCCTGGCTTTCTTTATCAAATGCATCTGAGTCAGGCCCTGGGCGAGATTCGCAACATAGGCCCAACTCAGGATGCGGGCAGTTGGGCGCAGGTAACTGGCGACAGCCCTGGGCCAATTCGTTTGGTCTGGGCCTCAGTCTACCGGGGCCTACCGGAAGCTTCTTGAGCAAGGTCCAGCGCAGCCTGGGACAGAACGCAGGCAGGCCACTTCCATATAGCAAAGGTCCTGCCTCCGCATTGGACATTCGGGTGCTGGCGGCATGCTGCGCAAGCGCTGCTGCGCTGAAACTGGCTAGCGCTCACGCGCTCACGGGCGAGCTGGAAGGAGCAGGCAGCCATAACCGAGCTGCGCTGCTGTGAGCTGGGTGTGGCACAGGGTGGTCCTTGGGTGCAAGTGGCATCTGTGAGTTGGGGAACGGGGTTGTGAGTGATACGAGAGACATACCTGGTGCTAGAAGTGACGGCATTGTCCGAGATCTGCTCGAACTTCGGTGAAGCTGTTGACGTCGTCCGGCGGCATTGTAGAGTAGGCTAGATAGGATCTGCCATCTGTAGTCTGGGCGCTGAGCGCCAGATAGGATATCAACATTGGTTCTTCATTGATGATGATGATGAGACTATACCAGCATTGTCAATTATGAGCTCTTGGTGTGTTCTTATTTGGTGAAACTCGTGATGCAATTCTGCTGTTGGTTCGAGCTCACGACTATCTGGTGTTGTATGTATGATGCTGTTTGATTTCTGAAGTTTGCTATCGCTCATCTTCCTTGCATAAATAAATAAATAAATGCTGCCTGAAAACGAAACCTGCGGCCTGGGGACCACCGTGGGCCTCCTGGGTGCGTCTGATGGGCACGCGGCCTGGGGGGGCCCTCAGCAACCGTCGGGCCCCTGAAATAGGGCCAGTGTGCTGGCTCAGCATGTGCTCTCTCTCTCTCTCTCTCTTCCTTCTGCCCCCCCCTCGCAACACACAGGCTCACACTGATAAAAGAATTCTCCCTCCAGAAAGAAAAGAGAAAACGGTGTGGTGGGAAAAAAGAAACTGAAAGAAACAAGAGGCCCCATCACTCTCCTCCCCCATTTACAAATGCTCCTTTGCACAGCTGTCTGCTGAACCATTAGCTTCGGCTGGTGTGCAAATTTGTCTTCATTGTGTGGTGGCTATTTTTACTTCGCTTGTCCATGTGTGTGACCGGGTACACCGGATCACGGGGAAAAACGAGTACCCGTGTTGCGGTGGGGTTAAGTGCTCATCTTGGGGCTTAACTTTCACCCCGGTCCACTTTACCGTTTGGTTGACTGTTTTCCTCCGGATAGGGAGGTCACGTGTTCGATCCTTGGACAGTGCGGACTTATAAAAAATGTATTTACAAATGCATTAGAACCACTCGATCGACCTTGCAGTGGCTTGGGCAGAATCGGGTGGTGCCATTAGCTTCGGCTGGTGTGCAAATTTGAATTCATTGTGTGGTGGCTATGTCTACTTCGATTGTGTATGTGTGTGACCGGGTACACCGGATCACGGGGAAAAACGAGTACCCATGTTGGGGTGGGGTTAAGTGCTCATCTTGGGGCTTAACTTTCAACCCGGTCCACTTTACCGTTTGGTTGAGTGTTTGCCTCCAGATAGGGAGGTCACGTGTTCGATCCTTGGACAGTGCGGACTTGTAAAAAATGTATTTACAAATTACAAAGGCAGCTTGCATCCCAGAAACCAATTTGGGAGGCCGCAAGAGTGGCCAAAGTGCGCATTTGAGGACCTACCACCTCACGGTTTCTTTTGTCCATGTCGCTTTTCAGTGTGAGCTGAGAGACAAATTAGCAATAGAGGCCAGGAAAAGAATGCACTGTTGGTAGAGCCACCGCAGCAGTGTGCCATGTGGAAGCATCTGGTGCATGTTTGTAGTTTGTATCCGCCTTACTGTTGGAAAAAGGAACGACAGTACACATGCCCAGAACAGACCTGCGCCGGGAATCATAAGGTCCTCATTTTGCACGAAAAAAGAAACGGTGCTTCTCCGCATGTGCACAAACAGTAATATCATCGCGCCTAGGCCAGTAGCCATCCATTGGCCCAGGCCTCGCAAACTTCATGCGGACAATCAAAATGCCCATTGCACCAGAGAATCCACAGTACTGGAGAATGAGATTTGCCGGGTGACTGCTCTTGAAGTAATCGAACTGGAATCCCTGCCAATCAGTACCTGAGAAATGACAGTTATAAATGCCCTGATGATTTCATTGCCCAGGAATAGCACCTTCTACACACGTAGCATTACGTTATTTCCCCCAGACAAGGAAAACACACATCCAATTCAACACTTCAGTTCAGGTCCACCCTCACTTAAGGTTCTCCTCTTGAACACCTCCCACCATAAAACTCTCTGGAATACAATCAAATTCCCAAATTTTGGGTCCTACTTTTTCTAGGGTATGCTTCATTTTCCTTCTTCCTTCTTATATCTCCCTTGTGCGAGGATAAGGCTCCTCAGCAGGCCTATGGGGGTCCACGATGCAAGTGTGCCCCCCCTAAGTGAAGGCGGGCCTAACAAATCACGAGGCCCAATGCTGTCAATTTCGTATTTGGGGTTTCAGGCAGTTGTGTCGCGTCAACCCAGGACACGAGCAGCAAAGATTTTCCACAGCCTTTTAGGCCTTTTCTGAAGTACAGGCCCTGGGCCACATTCGCAGCAGTATACACAGACAGTTGGGAGGAGTAACTGAACGAGGTCCAGCAGTATCAGCAGAGGCCCAGCATTCTGGGGCCTACTGGAAGCTTCTGGGCGCAGGCCCAGCCCACCCAGGTCAAACGCCAGGCAGACTCTTTCCATATAGGAAAGAGCTCACTGCCTGGAGGCTCATTCAGGCACTTGCCAGTTTGCGGCAGCGCTGCTGGAGCGGACACTCACATGCTGCTACTAGCGCTAGGGGCAAGGCGCTGTGCACGCGCGGTCGCATGGGAAGAAGGGAGCTGCTGAGGGCAGCGCCATAGCCCAGCTTCCATAGCTGGCTGGGCTTGGAGTACAGCAAGGCGCAGGGGTGGTTTTCGGGTGTACAGAGGGAAGACAAGGTGGAGAGAGAGAGAGAGAGAGAGAGAGAGAGAGAGAGAGAGAGAGAGAGAGAGAGAGAGAGAGAGAGAGAGAGAGAGATGAGGATGATAATGTGAGGGCTCATACCTGGTATTGACGATGGTCTGCATCGGGCGACATCTTCATGTAGTTCAGTGGCTGCTGACATCAACAGTTGCATTGTCAATTAGTAGGCAGATAGTAGTTGTGTGGGGAGTAGTCTGGGCGCCGAGCGCCAAGCAGGGGGAAGGGCCTGGACTCTTATGTTGGTGAAGACGAGCGTAAGCTCTTATTGGCATTCAGTTTCAGTGTTACGATTCTCCCATGGTGTATTATTGGTGCAATGCTACTTTCTGGACAGTGTGGGACTTTCTAGCTTTCAATGTGATTGTGCAATCTGGATTCTGTCATCTCGCTATTGCTCATTTTCCTTGCAATTTGGTATCGGAGATGGTTCGAACTGCGCTTACTGGTTCTTCACAATAGCTGTTCGGTGCTTCCCATGAGGTGCGGCGCAGCGATAAGGCTTGTGCGTGAAACGTGAGGCGGCCCAGGGTCGTGTGGGCG